TTGGATTTATAACAATGGCATTATAGTGGAGTGAGGAAAGGACAGTCTTTTCAATAAATGGTATGGAATAATTGAGTATCCATGTGTAAAAAGGGCACTTAGAACCCTGTTTCACATAAAATTCCAGGTGGATTACAAACCTAAATGTGAAAGGCAAAACAATACAGCATCTAGACGATAATGCAGGAAATGTTTTAACCTCAAGAAAGGAAAGATTTCTTAAGACAAAGAGCATGTTAAAATATTTGTAAATATGCTACTTTGATAAGAAAAAAATCTGCAGTTTTTAAAAAATAAAAACATGTCATAAAGGGGGCAATCCAGATGGCCAGTAAACCATTGTAATAGGCAGAAATTGGAAACAAATGTTCATTGACATTTACGATTATAATATAGTCATATGATAGAGTCCTGATATAACAATGGAAATAAATTACAGCTATACACAACATAATGGATAAGTCATAATGGATACATCTTAAAAGCTATATGTACAGAATATATACCATGTGATTCTACTTCCGTGAAGTCAAGAACAGGCAAAACTAAAAGACTGTCATTTAAGGATGCACACTAAGGTTGTAAAACTATAAAGCAGAGTGAGAGAGTTAGTACTATAAAAGCTCTGTGAGGGGACAGGAGTTGCAGTTAGGAATATACAGGGAATTCTGTGGTGCTGAGAGGATTTGTTGATCTGGGTGGTGGTTACCCAGGAAAGGACAGTCTTTTCAATAAATGGTATGGAATAATTGAGTATCCATGTGTAAAAAGGGTAATTAGAACCCTGTTTCACATCAATTTGCAGGGAGGAGACCGTATTGACTTGAAGAAGACTTTGAACTTAGTGAAAGAGAATCAGTCACTAGAAACATACTGCTCTGATCTAGTTGGGAAGGTCATTGTAATTTTCTTCTATATAGATTTGTTTGCTCTAGATAAGCAGCTCAATTTGAGTAGATTTTTAGTGATGAAAGGGACATTGGGAGCTGCTGTCACTGCTTCATTTTTCAGATGCAGAAACCACAGCCTGGAAAAATTGTAATTTGTCCTGAGTCATACACAGTTAGTAGCAGAGAAAGCCAAGACCACACCCCTAGCTTCTCAGTTCCCAGCTCATTAAACCTGACCTGATACTAGGCTGCCTGTAGAATCATGACTTGTATATGCCAACTGATTTTTTTAGTCTTCCAGTATATTCATGTATCACTTTGATGTTCTTGTAAGTGTAAAATTTATCAATACAGTCTTTTTTTTAATCTAGGTATATTCAGCATGCAGTTTTACTTTTTCAAAGATTCCTTCACCATACACCTTATCAAAACGGGTGAGAAGATTCATTTGGTTGTAATCTCAGCATTCTTTTAGAATTTTTAAATTCGCTTTCCCATTTCTCTCATTTTATTCTTTATATTTAGCAATTTATTATGAAATAAAGACATTCTAAGGCTTCACAGGAATATATGGGAAACGTAAGTGGCCTTCAATTTGGGTTGGAATACAAGATCTTCAGTGAGCAACGTCTGTGAAAAGAAAATTCAGAGAAAGATGAATGCAAACTTTGATTGTTAGAGAAGGCTGTGTAGATGAACCTTAAAAGTAGAATTTGAGATTAACTGCAGGGTAGGCTAGATGTGTAGAGGAAGATTCTATGGAAAATGCCTTGTAGAAAGAACAACTTGATTAGCGGCTAAGAGATGAAAATAGAGATTAGTGTAACAAAGCAGCCTGGCTGTCACCAGCAAATAAAGATGGGAGAGAGGAGTTGGAGCCACAGAGTAGAAAATTGCCTTTTTTTTTTTTTTTCTTTTTTTTTTGGAGATGGAGTTTTGTCTTCAAGTTGAATTGAAGAATGAAATTTTGTTAACACTGAAACTTTGTTTTTATTAGATTAATGGAAAGTGGAGTGGTCAGAGTGCTGGGGGATGTGGAAATTTCCAAGAGACTCACAAAAATAACCCCATCTACCAATTCCATATAGAAAAGACTGGGCCATTACTGATTGAGCTACGAGGACCAAGGTTTGTGATGAGTAACTTTCTTAAATTAATGATGTTCTATTAAAAATCAACATAGTGTAACAAAAAAGTTTAAAAACCTAAGCATATATGGACATTGGATTTATAACAATGGCATTATAGTGGAGTGAGGAAAGGACAGTCTTTTCAATAAATGGTATGGAATAATTGAGTATCCATGTGTAAAAAGGGCACTTAGAACCCTGTTTCACATAAAATTCCAGGTGGATTACAAACCTAAATGTGAAAGGCAAAACAATACAGCATCTAGATGATAATGCAGGAAATGTTTTAACCTCAAGAAAGGAAAGATTTCTTAAGACAAAGAGCATGTTAAAATATTTGTAAATATGCTACTTTGATAAGAAAAAAATCTGCAGTTTTTAAAAAATAAAAACATGTCATAAAGGGGGCAATCCAGATGGCCAGTAAACCATTGTAATAGGCAGAAATTGGAAACAAATGTTCATTGACATTTACGATTATAATATAGTCATATGATAGAGTCCTGATATAACAATGGAAATAAATTACAGCTATACACAACATAATGGATAAGTCATAATGGATACATCTTAAAAGCTATATGTACAGAATATATACCATGTGATTCTACTTCCGTGAAGTCAAGAACAGGCAAAACTAAAAGACTGTCATTTAAGGATGCACACTAAGGTTGTAAAACTATAAAGCAGAGTGAGAGAGTTAGTACTATAAAAGCTCTGTGAGGGGACAGGAGTTGCAGTTAGGAATATACAGGGAATTCTGTGGTGCTGAGAGGATTTGTTGATCTGGGTGGTGGTTACCCAGGAAAGGACAGTCTTTTCAATAAATGGTATGGAATAATTGAGTATCCATGTGTAAAAAGGGTAATTAGAACCCTGTTTCACATCAATTTGCAGGGAGGAGACAGATGGGGAAGCTGAGGCGTTTATTCACTTTGCAAATGATTTATTAAGCTGTATATATGTTTTACTTAAGTGTTATATTTCATAGTTTTAAAAGGTTTAAAAAACATAGAGAATACAGCCTGGGCATGGTGGCTCACACCTGTAATCCCAGCACTTTGGAAGGCCAAGACAGGAGGATCGCGTTCAGGAGTTCAAGACCAGCCTGAGCAACATGGCAAGACCTCATTTCTGCAAAAATTTTTTGAAAAATTTAGCCAGGCATGGTGGCATGTGCTTGTATAATCCCAGCTACTTGAGAGGCTGAGGTGAGAGGATGGCTTGAGCCCAGGAGGCAGAGGTTGCAGTGATCCCAGATGATGCCACTGCACTCCAGCCTGGTCGACAGAGCAAGACCCTGTCTCATATAACAACCACCAAAAAAAAAAAAAATACAAATAAAAACAAAACTACCTTCTAAATAGGATTGGGCTTAATTTTGCTTTTCTTACAAACTAATCCAGCAGCAGTTAATAACCCAAAATATGAAGATAGGATTAAACTATTTTTCCACAAGAAAGTCATTTTAAAAACCCCTACCAGTTTGATAGGTAAAATAGGTAAATAAACCTACTTGCTCTTTTGTACTTAATTTCTAGATGGATTGAACATGTAACAATATTTGTTACAATATTGTTTATTTATTGCCTATTCATGTTTCTTGCCCATAGAGTTATCTTTTTTTTTTAATTGTAAGCATGAATAAGATAAGGGTATTAACTCCTTCACATATTTGCAGATATTTTTCTCAGATTGTCATTTTTCTCCCACATAGAAAAGCATTTCATTTTAAAATAATGAAATCTGTCTTCTGGTTTCCTTTTGCTGTGGACAGGAACTTTCACCACATTATCAAATTAATTTTCACCATATTCTGATTATTTTATGGTTTAATTTTTTTGCATTTAAAAAATTCATATGAATATATTTTTATATTTGGTATAAAATACAATTTAACAGTTTTTTTCTAAATTTTGTGTTACCTCATCACCATCTAAATGAGTCTTTCTTTACTGATTTGGGATGCCATGTTTATCGTGTGCTAAATACTTCTGTAAATTCAGATTTTGTTTCAGGGCTTCCTTTCCCATAGGCCTTCCCATTTGTTACAATAACAATTTTTTTCTTTTTTTTTTTTTTTTGAGACAGAGTCTCACTCTGTCACCAGGCTGGAGTGCAGTGGTGCAATCTTGGCTCACTGCAACGTCCGCCTGCTGGGTTCAAGCGATTCTCCTGCCTCAGCCTCCCAAGTAGCTGAGACTACAGGCGCGCACCACCATGCCCAGCTAATTTTCGTATTTTTGGTAGAGATGGGATTTCACCGTGTTGGCCAGGATGGTCTTGATCTCTTGACCTTGTGATCCACCCACCTCTGCCTCCCAAAGTGCTGGGATTACAGGCGTGAGCCACCACGCCCAGCCAACGACAATATTTTTAATTATTCCCTGTGGCCAGGCACAGTAGCTCAAGGCTGTAATCCCAGCACTTTGGGAGGCCAAGGCAGGAGGATAGCTTGAGCCCAGAAATTCCAGACCAGCCTGGGCAGCATAAGGCGACCCCCTGTCTCCAAAAAAAAAAATTTAAGAAATTAGCCAGATATGGTGGTACATACCCATAGTCCCAGGTCCTGAGGAGGCTAAGGTGGGAGAATCGCAAGTCCAGGAGGGCAAGGCTGCAGTGAGCCATGATTGCTCCACTGTACTCCAGCGTGGGTGACAGTGAGACCCTGTCTCAGGAAAAAAAAAAAAAAGGTCGGGTGCATGGCTTACGCCTATAATCCCAGTATTTTGGAAGGCTGAGGCTGGCGGATCAGCTGAGGTCGAGTTTGAGACCAGCCTGGCCAACATGATGAAACTCTGTCACTATTAAAAATACAAAAAAATTTAGCCAGGTACAGTGGCATACCCCTGTAGTCCCAGCTACTCAGAAGGCTGAGGCAGGAGAATCACTGGAACCCAGGAGGCGGAGGTTGCAGTGAGCCAAGATCGCGCCTCTGCACTCCAGCCTGGGCAGCAGAGCGAGACTCCGTCTCAAAAAAGTAAAATATTTCCCGGGGAGCCCATGATAAAAATACAGTCTCTCTTAAAGTAAGTTTAATCCAGTGTTAATTTTTAAGGCTTCAACTGAAATATATAAATGGTGTGTTTACATGATCACAAATAGAGTGCATGTGTTTCTACTGAAACTTCAGAAACATAATATGACCTCGACACTTCAGATATAGTTATTTTAAATCACATGTTTGAGACTATATATTAATACAGTAATTCTGTTCATTTTAAATGCTAGGCAATATAGCGTTGGATTTGAGGTTGTAACCGTTTCTACTGTAGGAGATCCTGGTCCCCATGGCTTTCTGAGGAAATCTAGTGGTGACTATAGGTAATGTTGGCATTTTTGTTGTATCTATTTTATACTTTACTTCTTGTGGCACCATCTTCTATAAACTTTATTCTCATTTTCTCTAAATATAGGTGTGGGTTTTGCTACCTGGAATTAGAAAATATACCTTCTGGGATCTTCAATATCATTCCTAGCACCTTTTTGCCTAAACAAGAAGGACCTTTCTTCTTGGACTTTAATAGCATTATCCCCATCAAGATCACACAACTTCAGTGATGGAGAAATCTCGTTACTGGCTTTTATACTTAACCAAACATCAGTTCTTCAAATAAGGACACAAATCTTCAGGACAGTAAGCAGAACAATCAGAATGAAATTAAATATCTAAAAACACATTACAGTGGAATCTGGTGCTTGTCAGGGTGTTTGGTAAGAACTGTATATAGTCAGAATTACCTAAATCACCTAGAGGTACCGTTTACATGGTTTTGTGTATATAGAGTTGGCTAGCATTTTAGGGGCCATTTTGTATAAAAAGTGCATATGATTAAGATTAGACTTAGTCATCACTGTGAGATGCCTTTGCTAAGAGGATAAAGGAACTGAGACCAGATGAGAAAAAGGATATAGATTCCTTGAGTGGAATAGTGGGCTAGATTAATATACTGAAATATTTCCATTGTTTCCCTTTTTTGCAGAGCATGTGGACATTAAACCTGCTTGATTCTACTATACATCTTGGGCAACTAATTACCAAATGAATTGTGCCACCATAATTGATTTTAATTTTGCATTATTTATTATTTTAAAATGTTGCCCAGTTGTTATGAAAGAATAAAGCTTTTAAATATAGACTGACTACCTTAGCATGAAGATGCTCATGCCTAAGAACAAAAATTGTTGAGATTATCTCCCATTCAATCATGTAGCAAGAACTTAGAGAAATTCGCTACTGCGGTTTTTATTTTTAAAAAATAGTAATTGAGATATTGAAGACATTACAATTTAGTTTGTATCGTCTTTTTTTAAATGGCTGTATTGTTCAGTGCTCTTGTGGCAGTGGCACTTTGAAGAAAATAGAGAATTTAATATATGGTGATTGGGATATGTAGCATTCAGAAAAAGTGAATTGCCAAGATACTGGTGTCATGTAAATTCCCAGTTTACATAAAAACCCATCAGGATAGAATGATGCTCAATATTTTAAAATTCTAAAAATAGGGTGGGATTTTTCATTGTCTCTACTTTATAATTGTCAGAACTTATTTTGTATTGCTACTACCTTAAATTGAAATAAAATGTTTATACTTATTGATATTGCATAGTTTAACTTAGATTTATTCAAAGATTTCATCTGTCATGTTTCATGTAAATGAGGATAGATTATTTGCATGAAAATATATATTTCAACAAAAATCTGTTCTTTTACAGAATAGTGGTAGATTATTACACTAATGAGATTTCATTTTGGTAAATACTTCATGCTTTCAGTTTTAGCCTATTAATTTTAGGTGGACTAATTTAACTAGTTTTCTGTTACTCTTTAAAAAGAAAAAATCCAGAACATAAGAACTATATTATAAACACATGATTTGAACCTGTTGTGGTAAAGATCTTGTACAGGATGCAAACTGAAAACCTAATCCATCAAATGTATTAGAAGAGACCTATATATGAACAACTTAACTGTGGCACTGGTATTTCTATAATAGAGCTCTAAAAACATGCCACCAGTGTATGAATAAGGGAAAGATTAATTTTGGCTGGACCAATATAAAAAATTGTACTTGAAGAATTGATATTTTAACTTGGACCTTGAAGGAAAGGCTTCAAAAGACAGACTACTGACCATTATTGAGTGTTTACTATGTACCCAATGTGTATATTTTTCTTTTTACTCTTCCCAATAGCTGAATAAAGTATAGATACTATTATTTGTACTTCTTACAATTGAGGAAAGAAGCCTAAGAGATTAAGGTATTTGCCCCAGGTTTACAAGCCTTCTTCCCTGAGCCCTGATTGACCTGCTGTGTGTGTCTAATGACACCCACAGACACAGCCATCTAGTCGAGGGAGGGACAAGATCCAGACCTGTTACAGAGGGAGGAAAAACAATCCAGGCCCTTCAGAGGTTCTAAGTAACAGACAGACTAGTCAGGAGTTGTTAGAGAGGATGACTCAGGTTTCTAATTCAGCACATGGACAGATGCTCATAGCTTCACTGAAGGTAAGTTTTGACACATTAAATTGCCCAGAAAATCCAGATCTGGAATCAACGTGGCGTAGTAAGCAAGATCACCCAAAAAGTCAGGAGTCACATGTGAACTAAAGATGGTTAAGAACTGATTTGGGGGAAGCTTTTTAGAAAGTATTTCTGATTTTTAGAAAAAAATACATAGACTAACAGGAGATACAAGAAAACAAGGGGGTTGGAGGGGGATTTAAGAAGCCTAATGAACAGAATTCCCAGAAGAGTATAATTAAATGTCAAATGTGGTGGAGATAAAGAGGCCACAGTGACAGCAGTGGGGGCAGACTACGTAAAACTAGAGATTTGACTAGGTGATAGTGTGACAAGGGAGCCCTGGTCAAAAGGTGGTCTGCATCCCTTTCTGGTGTAGGAGACAGGTAGGCTGATGGGAAAGGGGATTGAGGCAGGAAACAAGAGAAAGTTTTAATGCCCAAATAAGGAATACTCTAGTGCTACTGACTGCCTAGGCTTTGTCTTTTGTAAAGACAAGGGAAAGAAAGCCCCAATGTTAGAAAATTCCATCCCACTTTCCTTCTCTGCAAGTACTTAGAAATTTCTAGTTATTAGATTGTATAACTTGACTCTGCTGTAAAAACTTTATCCTAGTTTGGGCTATTTTCCAGATGGTGTTTTTTCTAGGCGGAAAAAGAATTGCCTCAATTGCAGGGAAGTTTTTGCTAATGGTAAGTCAAGCAAGTCTCAGTGTCTTTACTACAGGTTAAAGGGTGTGAGGAGATTTTATGAGAACTGAATGAACCCTGAAGGTCACTAGTCAAATTCAGGTATGCTGTTAAGTGTTCTTGTTTGAGACCAAATTACAAGACTGGCCAATTTTTGTATTCTTGGTAGAAACTGGGTTTCACCATGTTGCCCAGGCTGGTCTCAAACTCCTGGGCTCAAGTGATCCACCAACCTCAGCCTCCCAAAGTGCTGTGATTACAGGCATGAACCCTCGGGCCTGGCCGGCTGTTTAATGTTCTTAAATAGCACAAGGGACTTCTATGAACTTTCCTAGATGAAATATTAACTTCTAGGTAAAACACCTTTTGATACTGCAAAGGGTTATTTCTGAAACTTAAACCTTATGATTGGCCAACCAAGAACTTTTTCTCCACAGCATGCTTTAATAATGAAACGCAGATTAAGAGTCCAGCATTGTAACATTTCCACAGAGAAAGGATCCATCTGATTCTCAACTCTGAATGCACATTTGAATTCCCTCGGGGAGCTTTTAAAAGTAATGCCCAAGTGTACCCCCCAGTTAATTAAATAATTCTCTGGGGATGAGAGCTGAGAGCAACACTTAAGCTTCCTAGGAGACTGCATGCAGTGTGCAGCCGAGGCCCACTCCTCCAGCGTCACCACCTCGTCTTTATTTTACTTATCTGCCACTGTGTTTCCTCACTGCCCGCAGCTTTAGTAGCAGCAAAAGTAGAATTCAAACCTTGGTAATCAAGGCTTAAATTATTACTATTCATGACCTTAATTGAAAATGATGACTGGTGAGCACAGCACTCCATGCTCTTCCTTATGGCAGAAGGGTTGCCTAGAAGATTTGGGCAATACTGGGAGTTATTTGAAGTCACAGAAAGTAGAAACTTTTCTCAAGCTGTTTTTATTACACTCAGTGTATTAAGACAAGTACAAAATAACCTTGTAATTAAGATACTGTATCAGTCAAAAAAGTCACTATTGTATGAAGAGATTTACAAATGACTAAAATATACAGGCTGTGACAGAATTAACAGTTTGAAAGAGGGTTACTTTTTTCTTTTAGAAATGCTAAATTTTCTTAACAAGACAAAAATACAGTGCTCTAAATATGCATTACCATGAAAACATTAAAGAAAAGCAGTCTTAACACTTACTACTATTAACAGCCTTTGCCAACACATGCCTGCCTACTCCCTTTCCTAACTTTAAAGAACAGTTTCCTCTAAGGAATACTAGTGCAGCATAACCCTTAAATAATTTCATTTATTTTTAACGTTACAACCTACAGAGAAATTAACATCTTGTCAATCTAATAACAGTGGCAACCATTCTTCACATGCACTTCTCTTAGAATAAATCCCCTTGGCTGGCAGGATAAGGCTTATGCTGTAGAACCTTCTCCCCCACAGCCACAAATCCCCTTCTGTAAGTCCCTCCTACCCTCATCCCCCCCGGCATTCACCTTTCCCACCCCAAAAAGTGCAGCTCATGGTAGCCTTTCTAGAAAATGGTTTCAATGGGTATCCCAGAATACACACTTTTTTAAAAGCCCCCCTCTGAACACCAGAGGCAGTGAACATGAATTGTGTTCTTGGATTTTTTTTTTTTAAGCCTCCACTGGGTCAAAAATATGTGCTCTTAATGCTTGAGTTTTTGCTTTGTGTGTGTGTTTTCTTTTTCGTTTAGATATCATGGAATAAAGTGGAGAGGACATCTCCATTTTCCCATACAAATTGAAGGGTGAGAAGAGAAAGAGAAGCAAGCTGTTGCCCCCACTTTGGCCTGGCTTCCCAGCCATCTTCCCAGCTCTGGTTCTTTCATAGGAACTAGTTATTGCTTCCACAATGCCATTACACGGAATGTTCCACAAAGGCTGTGAACCTGGTCACAGTCTACCCGCAGCAACAACTCTGCTCTGAAAAACCAGCCCAAGAGCTCTTACCCAGAAGAACAATCTTTAGCCCTCAAGGTCACTGAAACTTCATTAGAGCAGTTTAGAGTAGACGTGTAAGATTTGGCATATATTAAATGATTATTGGCACAATGTTCTCCAGTTCCATGTATAAATGTTGATATGCACATGGGCCAGGGCCCAGGATGAATCAGCCAATCTGCACCATTTTTATGTCAGCAATAATTCCATCTCTTCCCTTTGAGCACTGGAGGGAGAGCTGCTTCATCCGGTTCTCCAAGGCCTGGCCCTCAGGGGAGGGGTTGCTTTGGCTCTTACTGCTGCCACCACCGCCACTGCTATTGCTGAGGCCCCGGTTGTTGTTGGCTTTGTCACTTGTTTTATTCTCTGCCCCTTCTGCCCTGTCTCCTGTAGAAATACAAAGATTATCAAAAGTGAGTATTAACAATTCTAAGTCACTTGAGCTCAAACCAATCAGCTAACAGCCCTGTAGAATTCCCACTGTTGCCTACCGTGCCTATCAGAGAGATTCTCAGTACATAATCATTTACTGCTTTTATTCCTTGTGATGTTTTATATATTCCTTAGCTATAGAGATGAAATTTGCCACATGGACTTTATAGCTGAGAAACAAACCTCTCTGCTATGTGCTTGCCAAGGAGACTGTTCTGATGTGAGACACAGGACCTAAGCTCTACTTTATAGAAGCTGAGTGGAGCCAGGAGCTCCCCAGAACAGCACTTGGAAACAACCTCAGTGATCAATACTGACAACGCAACCACAGAGACCTGGTAATGCAGCATGGGGTCCCTGAGACCTGGCAGAGGTATGGAACGGCACAACAGTCAGGCTACAGAGGCAGTGCGGCATCTGGGACAGGGTGAGAAGGCTGCTACTCACCTCGTTCTACTTCACATTCAGGGGAGGAGGCCCCGCTGCATTCACTTCGAGGGCCCAACACTGGGAACATCATCCCAAACTCTGACAGGGACACAGGGCTGGGCAGATCCAGGCTGCCAGGCCTCACAACCGCAGGGAACTGGTCAGGCATCTCAGACGGGCTTGTTGGTCCTGAACTAAAGCTGGACACAGACTGGGTTTCCGAGTCATCTTCAGACACAAAGTTGCTACAGCTGTCATCTTCAAAGGCCTCCGAGGCCACTAAGTTGAGAGAGAACACCAGTCACATGGGTTCTGTCACCTCCTCAAATACCACAAGTGCTTGCTGCTGGCAGGCAGCTAGACACAGTATGGGGACTGCAGAATCTCTACCTCTGAGTGCCTAATGAAGGAATATGACTTCCCAAGCCTGAAGGGCCAGCCTCTAAAGCAGCTGGAAGGGAAGCAGCTGGATCCCATGGATATTAAGCGCCCTTCCAATAACCTTATAACCCTGCCAAGACATCAGTGTCACCAGACATTACCTAAAAATGGAAAATTAATTCAGCCACAAATTAGGACCTTTACTCCACCTCCGTCCCCCAAACAGATCCTCATGTGCACAGGAAGAGGTTCTGGTCCTCTGTAACATATCCCAAACAAAGCCAGCTGGACTCAGGCTTCTTTCTTAAGGCAATAGAAGCAAGAGCTGCTAGAAGAAACAGGCCAGCATGGAGTATCTGCTGGGACCTTTGTTATCTTCCAGGTAACTTCTGATCTCATAAAGAACACACTCAAAGTCTACCCACATCACCATTTTCTGCAAAAGAACAGAAATCCTTTACAATGCTCCGTAGCCACATTATTTGGTAGACCAAAATAACAAGGCGCAGACACATGTTATTCCCATGGTTTCAAAGCCTCTTTGGCCTTTAGCGGTTTTCCCTCAGCCTGCCCACAATCCCACTCCTTATTAGAACTTTCCCCTCTTCTCTTTAAAAACAGCCTTGTAGCATTCCATAAAGGTTTCTTACAAATGATAAGTACTGTAATGTTGGGGACAGAAAATAGGCTCAGACCTAAATTGAATCCCTAACTCCAAGACTTGCTGTGTGACCTTGATCAAGTTACTTTACCTCTGTAAGCGTCATGATCCTCTCCATGCAGGGTTTGAG